ATTATTATTATTATTCTAAAGATGCAGTGTTTATACTTGTATTTAAGCCTTTTACATAATGATTTCTCCTAACAATATTATTATACACTAGCTGGAGTACTTAATCCTGTTTGGTTTGAGAAGGAAAGCAACCAACAGAAGGACATCTTTCACAAATATAACTATTGATTGATTCACTGATTCAGTAGAAGAGTAACTGTCCATCATTCATGCAAGTATGCACACTGTGTTTTATGCTTTTAGGTATATAATAAAGATTGTGTTTCGCGTGAAGATTCAGTCTACATATTTCTCATATACCTTAAAACTCAGTAATTTGGAAAGACTCAGATTACTCAACAAATGGATCCTACCGTTATTAACAAACCTGTCTGATACTTGCACGTAAATCAGTTCTTGAGAAGACCATACTTTGTCCTGCTTGACCTTATGTATGGAGAGAACCCTTTGCAGCTGCCATATAAGGCAGATTTTTCTATTTTTAACCGTGACAGGGATTCAGTTTATGAAGAAGAGTTTGTCATACTCAGAGAAGTCTGCCAGCTTTTTCAAACTGGGGTGTTCGAGAAGTTCAGTTTCCCCTTCACCCTGTTCATGTGAAATTATTGCACGCTGTAATGTTAGTCGGATGGTTTGAGTTTTGATCTTCTTGAGCGATGGGCTAATCAAGTGATGTTATTTTCTTGCTTATCCACCTCGTGAGTATGAGAAAGGAGACAAGAGCAGTGAAGACAGTTTTATGGAGAAGTTAGTCTTTGGGACTCAGAGTAATAATAAGATGTATAACTGTATATATATATGTATAACTGGGAACAGTGGGCCATGAATCTACTTACATGTTATTGTTATACACGTAGTTAGCGAGACTTACTACTTCGGAGATTTCCGGTGGACACGGACTTTCCCGACTTATTATTCATTTTGTTTATAATGCTTCCATTGCTATTTGCTCCAACCCAATTTGGAGACCTATTTGGATAACAAAACTTTCCTTCAGAATTATTTTCATTCTCCCATAATACTAGTGAAATTCAAGACTTTTTCCAGACTTTCAAACCATAGCTATTATGTTTCAAGCATTGTCAAGCCATGGAAATCAGTTTGACATTTTCCCAAGCTTTTTCAACTTTCAGACTGACTTAAAAATATTAGGAAATTTCTAAAATAATTGCTTTTTACAATACTTCATGATTTTGTAAGCGGAAAAAGCTTTTACTTATAATGTTAAAAAACGGACATAAAACAGAATTTAAATAGCTGCTCTATTCTTTTAAGAGTATCAATATTACCAATTTTGTATTCTACCTTAAAATTATCTCCAAGAAGACATTTATTTTTGTCATATGTATATAACCCTTCAATATACATGTTTTCAAACTTCTAAATGTATGCACAATGTATTTCATTTTAAAGTTTCACAATAAAAATACTCATTTTTTATATATTTTTAATTTTTAAATCCACCCAAATCAACTCGTAAAACATGTTAGTAAACTTTTAGACGATCACACATATGAATGTTTAACTTGATAAATAGTTTTTACAGGATTTCATTCGAAATTTAATAGTCCGATGGACAGCTGAATATGTAGAAGAGACTTAAACTGAAATTTGTATTGGAGATTAAATACGTGATATTTATTGAAAGCAATATCAAACAAAATTCAATGAAAGTTTATTCAAGAAAGATAGTAATTCTTGCTTTTCTTCAGAATATATTCCACATTTGTATTTGTGTGACACAATTCTTATAAAATGTATTGTACAGAAGTTGGCGAATTTTTTAAGCCTAAAATGAGTGTTTTTGGAAGTAGGTAGTCACAACGCAAGTTCTGTGGTAATCATCTACTACGCAGTATTAGTTAAGAAGCTTCACCGTTATCAAAACACTCACAACCAGAGACGCCATAGCGTTGGCACTGGCTGCACTATCACACAAATCTTTCTTAGTGAGTTGGTCAAGTTTCTTAAATTTTAATTTCTTTGGGCTGGCGCATTCCACTTCCAAACTCTTCTTCTGTACAACCCATTGAAAGAATGACCCCTTTTCAATCTCGCACTCACACTCCAAATCTACAGAAAAGAAAATAGTAAATAATCGTGATTTTTTTTTTACATTTCGATAATTATAAAACAAATACCATGACTATATAAATTTATAAATGTATTCTGTTCCCGATAGGATGATTTTACTAGAGTTAATTATAGTTTATATAAATTCAAAACTGGTATAAATTATTGCTGAAATTTTATACATTTTTCAAACTATTTATTATTTCGTTATCTTTAATCACTATGTGAATAATATAAATGTTGATGATGCGGAAGAAAATAAATGTTACATATCACAATGATTTCGAATATACATTTAATTGCAAGTGGTCAATACAAAAATGCGAAACAGCAGTTTAAATATCATTTTGGATATGTACACTATACGTTCTATTTTTCGCTTTAGCTTCTTGATAATACTTTTATAAAGCTGATCTTTCTGAATATTTTGGCCCTAAATAAGTAAGAATGCTTAGGCCCGGCATGTATTCTGTGGTTAGGGCGCTCGACTCGTAATCTAAGGGTCGCGGGTTCGAAT